CCGCCCCCCCACCCAGCACCTCTTTTCTAAACCGAATAGACCTGACCTCATTAGTCTCTCCTCATATGGAAGCCCATCCATAACACTATTCATCCTTGTTGCCATTCTTTGGACCTTCTCTAGTTCTTCTATACCATTTTTGAGGTGCAGGGACCAGAACTGGGTGCAGTATTCAAGGTGTGGAGCACCACAGATTTATAAAGGAGCATGATGATGATACTTTCAGGGGCAGCAGTGCCAGAGTAGATGGGGATCAGACACAGAACTGCCACGTCCCCTTACCCAGACCTTCAGCACAGCCTCCTTGCAGAGCCTGGGTGGCAGGACACAGCTGCCATGGCTGAGACAGACCAAGCAGCCTCACCTCAGCAGAGATAAGGTGCTAACAGGGGGCTGAAAGGAAGGGGCCTGAAACCCCTGCTTCCACTCAAGCCCCTGGCTGGGAATGACCCTGAGTCCCCTTGGAGGCTCCTCCTCCAGCAGCTGTGCCCAGCATGTGCTGGCAGGTGGGGAGCAGCAACCGGGGCAGGGCCCAGGAGGCTGGAAGAGGCGTGTGGAGGTGCCTAATGCCCACCTGGGTTTGGGTTGTTTGGCTACTAGTTGCTGAGACCCAGGCAGCGCCCCTCGGCCGCGACTGCCTGTGTTCGCAGCTTGGGGCCCCAGCACCACAGATGAGGCTGAAGTGGGTTCCTTATTCCTAGTTCCTGGTTCCTTTTTCAAAGCTCATCTATATCCAATATAAGCTTCTTATTAATGAATTACACATTCTAAAAAGAGAGAATTTCATTAGGTATACATATTTACCAATTAATATGTAAATTAATATCCTGCATCAAATACAGAGGTCTAAATGGAGATCAGATTAGGATGGGATTATGGGGCAAAATACTTATTGGGCCACCCCAAATTTCCTGTCGATGCAACTGGGGGATTGTCCCAAAGATCCCTGAGTGCAGTCCTGCCTGGCCCAAAGCACAGTTTGGCCCTGCCAGCCTGCCAAATGGCAGCCCCCTGTGCCCACTGTACTAAGTATATGGACCTGAATAAAGAACTGGCTTTTGGGCTAGGATTCGGCTGGAAATCCTTCTTGGGTCACCCCACACCATGCCTCTGTACCACCAGGGGACTCTCTTGGACATCCCTGACCACAGTCTTGCCCAGTCCAAAGCGCAGTTTGTTCATGCCAGGGTGCCAACTGACAACTCCCCATTCCCACTGTACAAGTATATAGGATTGAATAAGGAACTGGCATTTGGGCTGAGATTACAGAAGGAAATCCTTCTTGGGCCACCCCATACCAGTACCAGGCTCCCAACTGACAGTCCTCCCCCCCTCTCCCCCCCCAGTGTACTTAGCATATGGGCTCGAATAAAGAACTGGCTTTTGGGATGAGATCATGAGCGAGAATCCCTCTTGGGTCACCCCACACCATGATGCTGTGGCGCTGGTGGACTCTTCTGGACATCCCTGACCAGAGTCTTACCCAGCCCAAAGTGCAGTTGGGCCCTGCCAGGCTGCCAGTTGACAGCCCCTCAGCCATTGTATTAAGTATATGGACTCGAATAAGGAACTGGCTTTTGGGCTGGGATTACAGATGGAAATCCTTTTTGAGCCACCCCACACCATGCCTCTGTGGCACTGGGAGAGTCTCCCAGGGCCAGATTTTTCCAGATCTGTAACCTGGGGGACATCATCACTAACTGGTGTCCAGCTGGAAAAAACTCTTTCAATCATATCTGGGGAGTATGGAAGTCAAGTTGTTAAATTACCTGAAGGTTAAATCACCTGAGGGTTATTAGGTGCTTCTGACCCTTTAGCATTTCAAATTTAAGGATAATGTCTCAAGGACTGGTTTTAGATCTCATATAGGGGAAAATAGAAGAGTTAAGATCTAAAGGAGAACAGAATCATTAATACACGCCCTTCATTTAACATAGCAATCGGGATCATTAAACCTTTTTTTATGAATATGTTATTCTGTCAGCATACAAATCTTAGGGATAGCTGGGAGGCTTAAATTGTGTCTATACTGCTTGATGAAAAACACAGGTGTGGGCAAAAGGAAAAGATTCCAGAGGGGAGTCAGTCCCTGGATGTTTTCAATGAACTATTCAGATTAAAAGTGCTTCCGAATACAGTGCTCTGTAGTGGGTCTACACGATACTGTACTATTGTACTATAGTAAAAACAGCTGAACCCCCCGCCCTGCAAGCCTACTACTGATACAAGGCAGAGCCTAACAGATCTGGGGTTCCATGGCAACCTGAAGAGAACAAGCAGAAACCCCTGGCGGGGCAGAGGAGTGATGGATACCCACAGTGGTGTGGTGGAGAGCCGGGGCCTCTGGCTCCTACCCCCCATGAAGTAACCAAGACCCCCGGTGGTGCCCTGGCAGAATGGTGGAGACCCCCAGTGGTGTGGAATGGCAGAGACCCCCCTGGCACCATGGAGGAATGGCAGGGAGACCCCCCCAGCAGCATGGAGGAGTGCTCGGAGCTAAGGCTGGGGACTTGAACTGGGGTATGCTAATTCTCCTGCTAAGAGCAAAGCCAAGGGGTCTTGGCTGGAGGGTCTTGCCCTTCACTTAGGGTCAGACTGATTGCCATATCTGGGGTCAGAAAAGACTTTTACCCCATGGTCAGATTGGCATATGGACTGTGGGTTTTTTGCCTTTCCCGATAGCTGGGACATGGCCTCTACCTGGGAATCTCTGGAGCATATATTGATAACATTTCATAAAAGCAGGACAGTGGCTCCCATAGTTCACCTGCTTTCTTGTAGCAAGTTCAGGTCTTAGGTCTATGATGTATAGTATGATGGGATTGTTTGGATAGGGGTGATCCTGCCTTAGGCAGGGGATTGAGCTAGGTGACCTCTGGGGGTCCCTTCCAGCCCTACTTCTCTATGATTTTCTAAGTCTATGAACCCCTGGCAGCAGGGAGCAACAGAGCCTCTGAGATGGTCCTCCCTGCCCAGAATTACTACTAAGATGATGCAGGTGGTAGAGTCCCTGGATGGCAGCCCTGGGCGAGACTCCCTTCACAAGTGACTGGGCTAAGAAGGAGCTCCCTGGGTTGGTCTGCCACTGATTGTTATTGTGATCAATTCTAAGCTACATTTAAAGGTTAATAGTTAAGGTTTTGCTTACAGAGTCCCATTGTTCCACATTTCCCTTGTAATAAATTTGTTTTAATTTAACATTGGCTAGTGAGTGAGCAGGTTTCTTTTAATTACAGCTTTCAGTTCTAAGTTACTTTACCAAGTTTCTGGGTGGCTGCTGGAGACAAATGTGAAAAGCTGGTGAAAAATCCCTAGGGGCATCTATACACATGTTCCAGGATGGGGGGAGGGGGCGTTTTAATTAGAATGGCTCCGAGAGGTTCTCTAATTAAATTGCCTGCAGGGTCACATGTCACTCAATTAATCGAGTCTGCTCTGAAACGTGCTAAATAACATGTGTCAGAACAGAGGGGTGTTTTGCTTTGTTTTGGTTTTTTTTAGGAATTTTTTTCATGTTCCAAGTCAAATCAGCCAAGTCAATTCCAAATCTGTGAGTCATTCAAGAACCATATGTGGCTGTACAACTGGCAAATATCCTCCACCCCTTTCTGGGGCTTCAGATGCTTCCAAAGCATTTGGCTGGCATCCTATGATGACAAGGTCAAACGGTTATAAACTCCTGCAAGACCGTTTCAGGCTGGACGTAAGGAAGAATTTCTTTACTGTCTGAGTCCCAAAGGTCTGGAAGAGCCTGCCATTGGAGGTGGTTCAAGCGCCTACATTGAACGCCTTGAAGAGAAGTTTGGAGGTTTATCTGGCGGGGATCCTATGACCCCAGCTGACTTCCTGCCCCTGGGGCAGGGGGCTGGACTTGTTGATCTTCTGAGGTCCCTTCCAGCCCTAATGTCTATGAAATCTATGAAATCTATGTGCAGGACCAAGCCTGGAGGTTTGGGGTTTGGATGCCCCCGGGTTTCACTTGCCCTCATCCATATGGCCAAAGAAGCAAGCTAGGGAGGAGTCGCCCATTTCCATAAAGTGGGCATAAAGCCAAGATCTTCCCACAGGAAGAGAAAGTGGGCGGTTAACTGTACATTACCTCTGCCCAGGCACTATCCCTTGCCAAAAAAGCCGTTATCCCCAGCCACTAGGAAAACTGCCTTAGTGGTCATGGTGTTTCTCCTGCCAGGTAAGAGGTCAATCATGTGTATAGGTGCCCTATATTTGCATGCAGCCATTCTTCCTGCCATCCACTGCCTGGTGAAACAGGTTTTAAAGGTTGGGTGTCAGATGGCAGGCTCACACTAAAAAACTGAGCATTGGGTTGAGTAGTATCATGCCCAGATTTCTTCAGCAGGCTCTCTTGGTAGTGGGGATGTGTTTTGGAATGATCCCAAGAGTGGTTTGCCCCATGAACCTGTCAGGTTTGACCTAGAAACCACTACACAAAGCCCAAGCAAAAGTCTCTGTTATGTAACTAATGCCCACCTGCAATGATAAGGAGGAGACAGTCTTAGATAAAGGAGGCTTGAAAACAAAAGCAGAATCAGAGGACTAGGGCAAAGAGCTGATTTAAATATTAAGATTCACACCCCTAGGTGGGGAGAAAGTATGCTAATGAAACATACATGTATGGAAATGAGATACATAGCTAAAACACAGGTATAGAGACATGCTCAGTAAAGAACTCCTTGCGTCACTCCCTTATAACCAATTAGCAAACAAAAATGCTTATGAAGGTCCAATACTCCTGTATAAAAGATGCTTAGAATTAAAAATCTGTGTGCTTGTTACGTAAAATTATTCCGCTTGCACCTGGTATTGCTAGCAATAAATCTTTATACTTTCACCCCTGGTATCTTTATTGGCTTTTGCATACCGGACACGATCCCAGACTTGAGATAGGGCTCAACAAACCCAGCAGAAGGGCAGCTCCTTATTGGTAGCAATGTAAATAGCACATGGGGATGGGGAGTAAGTTGAAGCCTGGTATAGCCAAGATGCACTTTGGCTCCAAGCCTCTGGTCAGGGATGTCCAGGAGAGTGCCAAAGAGGCATGGTGTGGGATGGTCCATACAGGACCTCTAGCCATAATTCCAACCCAAAAGCCAAATCTTTATTTGGGTACATATGCTTAGTATGGTGGGCATGGGGAGCTGTCAGCAGCCTGGCATGAAGAAACCATGCTTTGGGCCGGGCAAGACTTCAATCAGAGATGTCCGGAGAGTCCCCTAGTGGTACAGAGGCATATTGTGGGGTGGGCCAAGAAGGATTTCCATCTGTAACTCCAGCTCCAAATCCAGTTTCTAATTCAGGCTCATATATTTAGTATAGTATGGAAGACTGTCAGTTGGCAGCTTGGCATGGCCAAATGGTGCTTTAGACCAGGCAAGACTCCCCCAGAGGCACAGAGACATGGTGTGGGGTGGTCCAAAAAGTATTTCCAGCCGTAATCCCACTCAAAAGCCAGTTCCTTATTCGAGCCCATATACTTAGTACAGTGAGCATGGGGTGCTGTGAGTTGTCAGTTTAGCATGAACAAATTGTGCTTTGGCCAGGCAAGACTCTCATTAGAGATGTCTGGGAAAGTCTCCCAATGCCACAGAAGCATGGTGTAGGGTAGCTCAAACAGGATTTCCAGCCATAATCTCACCCCAAAAGCCAGTTCCTTATTTAAACCATTATACTCAGTGCAGTGGGCATGGGGGTCTGTCGGTTGGCACCCTGGCATGAACAAACTGCATTTCAGGCTGGACAAGACTCTGGTTAGGGTTTCCCAGGAGAGTCCCCTGGTGCCACAGAGTCATGGTGTGGGGTGGCACAAAAAGGATTTCCCAGACCAAATGCCAGTTCCTTATTCAACCCCATATACTTAGTACAGTGGGAATGGGGAGTTGTCAGTTGGCACCCTGGCATGAACAAACTGTGCTTTGGGCTGGGCAAGACTGTGGTCAGGGATGTCCAAGAGAGTCCCCTGGTGGTACAGAGGCATGGTGTGGGGTGACCCAAGAAGGATTTCCAGCCGAATCCTAGCCCAAAAGCCAGTTCTTTATTCAGGTCCATATACTTAGTACAGTGGGCACAGGGGGCTGCCATTTGGCAGGCTGGCAGGGCCAAACTGTGCTTTGGGCCAGGCAGGACTGCACTCAGGGATCTTTGGGACAATCCCCCAGTTGCATCGACAGGAAATTTGGGGTGGCCCAATAAGTATTTTGCCCCATAATCCCATCCTAATCTGATCTCCATTTAGACCTCTGTATTTGATGCAGGATATTATTTTACATATTAACTGGTAAATATGTATACCTAATGAAATTCTCTCTCTTTAGAATGTGTAATTCATTAATAAGAAGCTCATATTGGGTATAGATGAGCTTTGAAAAAGGAACCAGAACCAGGAATTAGGAACCGGGACGAATGGGACCAAGTTCAGCCTCAGGCGCCAGGGCGGGCGGTGCCCGGGCACGGAGGGCGCTGCTCCGCCCGCGATGCAACCCCCGGGCTCCGAGCTGGCGCGGGACCGGGCCTGCCCCCCGCCCCCGGAGGGCGGAGCCGGAGCTCGGAGCTGCTCCACGGCCGCGAGCCCGGGGCTGGAAGTGCCCGGGGGAGGTCTGTGCCGCGGTGCGGGCACTGGCATGGCGGGAAGCCCTGGCCGCGCCCTTCCCCTGGTGTCGCAGGCTCCACGATCGGGCTCCGGGCTCAGCCAGCGCCTGCCAGGAGTGTGGGGCAGCGCTTGGCTGGGCCCCGGGAGAGCCCGAAGGAGACTCCTGCGGAGAAGTTGGAGCCCGGAGGCCGCTGGGACAAGCTGCCTTTACTGAGGCCAACCCCTCCTCTCCCCTCCTTCTCTCCACCCCCGCCCTGGCAGCCAGAGCTTGGATCTCCCCACAGCTCCCCGGGGTTTGCAGCACTGGGGGCTTGCCCCCTTGGTTCCCCTGCTCACAGGGGCTTTGCCTAGCCCCTCTCTGGAGCTGAGTGCCCAGGCTGGCCTGGCCCCCTCGCGGTGCCCTGTGTCTCCTGGTAATGGTGCCCCGTCTCTGCCTGCAGGATGCTGCCACTCGCAGACGGGGTGCTGGAGCTGCTCAGCCTGGAGCAGACCCTGCTCCGCACTTATGCCATCTCCGCCCTGCTCCGGGCTGTGCTGGCACTGCTCCTCCGCCTGCTCCTGCAGCTCCTGGGCCTCTTCCATCGCTACTACATGAACTGCCAGCATTTGAGCTGCTTCCCCCAGCCCCCGCGCCGCAACTGGCTGCTGGGACACATGGGCATGGTAGGTACCGTGATGCAGGATCCTGCAGGGAGTCTCCTCACTGCATCAGCTTGGTGCTGTTGCACTGAGGGTGTGAGGCTGGAAACATGCTGCAGGGGCAGAAGAGCTTGAGCTTGTCCTATGGCTCTTGGTGCCTGTTCCAGTCTCCCCAAGATCTGCACCCACAGCTGAGGTTATTCCTAGCTCTTTCCTCCCAGGCATTGTGGTATCAGGGCAGGACACCAGAGCAAGCCTCCTCCTGGCCAGAGCTGGCATGGCAGGGGCTGGGGGAAGGGGCCAGGTTGGGCCAGTGGCTGGAGGGGGTAGGATACCAGTTTGTAGGTCCCATTCCCAGGTGGATAGCAACCAAACATTGATTCCAAGCCCACTCCTTGCTGCCCCCCCTACTCCCCGAGTCCCTTGAGGCCTCTTGGGTACCTCAGTGTCATGACTTGCCTGCTTGAGTCATTGATGTGGATTGGGATCTTTGTCCCCCCAACAGGGCTGCTCTGTGGTGCCCCTGCATCAGAGCTCTGCCCTCAGCAGTCTGGCTCCTTTTGTGTCCAAAACAGGCCAAGGTCAGTGCAGTTTAGCTGGCTTGGCAGGGAGTAAAGAGTATCTTAGTAGTATCCTCATGTGACAGGGTCTCTCTTTTCCCCCAGCCTTAGAGGGCCTGGACCTGTCCCTTTGCCTCAGCTGAGGGACCAAGGGCTGAATAGCATTGCATAGTACCTGCACTTCCATCCCTTGCTGAGGCATCCTTCAGGGCTGGGCTGGAGTGTACTAGTGGGCAGTGTCAAGAGGCTGCTCCTGACCAAGGAGTAAACATAGCATGTTGCTGTCAGTCCAGCTCCTACCTGACCCACATGCATCAGCTGCTACCAAAGCCCCGGGCTTATACCCTCCATTTTCTCCTCTCCCCTGCCATCCCTGCTGACATTACTGACCAGAGGAGTAATGGAGTTGGCAGTGATCCCTGGTGAAGGACACAATCTGGGTTGAGCATGGGGACAGCTCAGGCTAGGGAATGCACAAATACAGAATAGGAGATGACTGGCCTTTTCTGCAAGCTGAAAATGCCTCCTTCTCTTAACCTCCTTCCAATTCCTGTATCGTTTTGTTGCCCACCTCTGAACCTCTCTAACTTCTCATCCTGAAACTACAGAGCCCAGAACTACATGCAATACTCTAAGCCTAACAAGTTCCAAGTAAGGGGCACTATCACCTCCTGCATCTTAAACCTGTTGATGCAGTCCAGAACTGCATTTGCTTTTTTAGTGACTGCATCACATGTTGAGACTGTGATCCACACAAACCCCCGGATCCTTCTTGGTGATGGCGCCATCCAGCCAGTGATCTCCTGCTCTGTACATTTGATTAATCTTCCCAAGGGGTAGTACCTCGTATCTGTCTGTGTTGAACTTCAGCTTGTGGCTTCTAGCCCAGCTCTCAAATTTATCAAGATCCTTCTAAGTCTGGCCCTATTCTCTTAAGTGTTTTGCAGTCCTTCCATATTTCATGTTATGTATTAACTTGAGTTGGAAGCTTTCTGCCAGCAGCCAAATCATTAATGAACAGAGTGGATGTCAGCTTGGTAAACAAACCCAGCAAGGGCTGAAGGGAACCAAAGTTAAGATTTGCAACATCTTAGCACTCTTGAAACCCTAGTGGCTGCTTACTAGATGTGATCACCAGGGATCCTGGTTTTCTGTGTTTAAAAATCACAAATTATCTGATTGCAAATTCTCTGATTAAAAAACCCAAAATCCATTATTAAAATGAAATGCCACAATATATATATTGGTATCAATTGAACACAATGTTTTGTTGATATATTTACAATTTTAAAGATATTTGGAAGCCTACCAGTCAGTGGTGACATGTAGGGGGTGCACAGGTGTGCATGTTCACCCCCTGAGAGTCCTGGTACACCCCCTGACAGGCCGTGCTCCTTGCTTAGGCGACGGGCAGGGTTGGCAGGCAGGAGCACCAGTGTCCCCCCTGCGAGCGCCAGCTGGGGAGCAGGAGCACTGGATGAAGCGCCACAGCCACTTCCTGGTTGGTACAATCAGCCACGGGGGGACCCCCCCGGGTCAGCGAGACTGGCTGCAAGGAGACTCCCCCAGCCACTGACTGGTCCTGTGGGGGGCACATGGTGGCGACTGGTGCCGACCAAGGTGGCACCAGTCGCCCATGCTACCAGTGCCTCAATCACTATAATGAAATAAATTCTAAATACCTATAAATTTTGGCATTTGATTTTGGGTTTTTTATCGTGGAAAATCAGAGCTGCCCCTGCCTCTCTCTTTCACCAGGACACAGGTCCAGGCCCCTCACTCCCAAGCCACAGCCCCCCAGCCCTGCCAGTGCCCCTCACTCCCTGCCTGCAAAATCCTGGTCCTGCCGGTGCCCCTCACTCTCCACCTGCAGACTGCCCATCCTGACCAGCCCTGCCAGAGGGGGCTCCCAGCTGCCAAGACTACGGGGCCAGAGACCTTGGTCCATAGCCCCCTGCCCTCCACAGCAGCACCTGAGCCCCAGCTGCCCCCATGGGTGGTGCAGCCAGAGAAGAGCCCATGGAGGTTAGGGGGTGGAGTAGGTTGTGGGCTGCCCTCTGCTGCTCTGCCTCTGGGGCCTTTGCAGTCCAGCAGGTGGGACCCAGTGCAGCAGGGCAAAGTGGGGCCAGGTGGGGAAGCTCCTTGCCCCTGCAAGCCCTGTGCTGCCCTGGTGAAGCACCCCCTGCCCACCTGGCAGCAGTGAGGGGCACAACCCCATGTCACCGTCTCTACCCTCACCCCTGCTGCTGCCAGGCATGCAGGAGGTGTCTTGCCAGTGTGGTGCAGAGCTCCCAGCAGTGGCAAGAGCTTCTCTGCCCAGCCCCACTCTGCTCTGGTGCTCCAGGTCCTGCCTGCTGGGCCACAGAGTCCCAGGGGGGAGGGCAGCAGGGCGGGGAGCCCAAACCCGCAGCGGGAAGCCCACACCTGCTCTGTGCACAAATCTGGGGGGTACGTGCCCCCCCTCATGGCTCCCCCAGGAATGCGTGTAGCAGTGGGGAGCCAGCTCCTCTTCCTCTGCCCCCTGGACAAGCTGCCCGCGACTGTCTTGAGCCTGTCCCAGGCCTTGCAGTCATACATGGCCCCAGGTCCCAAGCCTCATGCACTACCTGGGCTGGGCAGCAGCCCCAGCCCTGCCCAACTCCCTCCCTCCCTATGGGGACCTCAATCCCCACCTCCCCCACCAGACTTACCTGCCAGAAGCTGCTCTCCAGGCTGCCTGGTGGCCATGCACACATGCATATGGTGTCCCCTGCCTGATCACCCTTCTCCCACTCCCCCAAGCCTCTTGCAGGCTGGAACTCTGCCAGTGTACAGAGAACTCTGCAAAAGTGGAAAAACTGTGTTTCTTCGTTAAAATGAAAAATTTGCATTTTTCTCGGTTAAAAGAGCAAATCTGCATTTTTCCCATTTTTCTTTGGGAAACAGAAAACCTGGATCCCCGGTGATGATCACATATACTCCTTCCCTGCTCCCTGCCCCCATGGCATCACATCCCCCAGGGAGCTGTCTGCATGACTGGATCTTTTTGCACTCCAGCACAGAGCCCCAAAACAGCTGCCCTGGTTAGTTCAGGGGAGGACAGGACTGGGTGCTCCTGCTTGGGTGAGAATGAAAGGACAGCCTCCCTGACTCCTGCCCATGGCTCACTTTCTTGCTTGGGGCAGGCATGCCTATTCCTGGAGCAGAGAAACATGCCCAGTTGTTAAAAAGGTTAAATTCACTGTATGTAAAAGAATAAGTCCATTTAAAAGGGAAGGGGGTTGTTTTCTCCTGTGGAGAACAGACAGGTCAGCAGAGGGAGGAGGTCAGGTGTCATGAGCTCTAAATTCATGCCTGTATTAAATCATTGGTTTTTACTCCAGTGAAGTAATGAACCAAAAACTTATAGCTCATTTCAAATGACTAGCTAACATCCTAGGTTAGCAACCTTTGTGTACTTCCCAAGCAGGTCCCCTTTTTTATTCTTACATCATTCAGTTGATCTGTTTCACTTGCTCTTGGTCTCCAACTGCTTCTGATAAATCCTCTTCGCTCCGTGGGTTCCTGCCCACTTCCTTTCTTCAATGACCACTTTGATTTACAGAATGGGATGGAACAACCTGCTATTTAGCTCAGGCTGGTTCTGCTTCATTCCTAGACCTCAGGAAGAGCATCCTCCCAGCTCCATACGTGTCCAATAACACATATTACCAAACTAATCCTGCTTCTCCAATGATTCCCACCATTTTATTTCCCTTTTTGACTTTTGCTGCATGCTGAAACAATATCTTTAGAAAACTCTCTGCTGTGCACCCCATTGCACTTCCCCCACTGCTTTCGAGGATTCAGAGCTTGGCATTGTAGACCATAGAAAAGAATCATAGAAAAGTAGGGCGGAAGGAACTTCAGGAGACCATCTAGTTCACCCCCAGAACAAGGCAGGACCATGTCTTTCTCAGGGGTGGGAAAAATATGGCCAGCAGGCCAGATCCAGCCTGCCAGGCAGTTTCATCCAGCCCATGGGCACCCACCAACTAATTGTACCCAGACCCTGTGCCTCACTCCCACCCTCATGTGCAGAGGGCCTGACTCAGCCAGCATGTGGCTTCCAGGCAGGGCTGCTGTTCTGCAGCCACTGGGGGAGCTGCTTGGCTTCCCTGGTGTCCCACTCACTCCAGGCACTAGGTGGGCAGGGAGCTGCCACTGGGTGGAAGCATGGAGTGTGGGGCTAGGGCTGGTGGCAGCGTGAAGCCCATGCCAAGGGGGCTGGGGGGGGCAGGGCAGGAGCACGGACCTTGGGTGGGGCAGTGTGGAGACCTCCCACTTGCCATGGCACACAGCTCCCGGCAGTGGCAGCAGTAGCAGCAGGAGGCAGCACTGGGGGTACTCATGCCCTGTGCAGGTGCTGCCGCTCGGCGGTGCGCAGTTCCAGCCAGCTCTGCACGTGCTGGCAAGGAATGCAGCCTGGCTGGCCTGCCTCTATTG